GGGAACCCCATGGCCCCTGCAGTTTCCTGTAAGAGCTAAACTTCCTAAAAGAACCACCTCACTTAGGGTCTCCCCTCCCATCTGCTCCCCACCCAGTCTCCCCCACCAGGCCCTTCTCCCGTCCCTCCCTAGGCTGCACCAGGGCATTTGGCACTGAGCTGATTGACCTAGGAGACTGCATCTTCCTTTGCCTCTGGGGGCACCCCTCGTATGGTCTGGCTCTCTGCCCACCCACTCTTGGCCTCCTTCAAGGGCTCCTCTGTTCCTCTCTGTACTCTTGAATGTCGGGATTCTGAGGACTCAGGTGCAGGACCTGTCTCCTCCCCTTCCCCAGCTCTCAGGGTCCTCAAGTGTGCCCCGCCCTCACCTCAGAATCATTTTGTCTTAACAATTGGCCATTTATCACCTTCTGCTTCACCCTGTTTGCTGCCTCTCACCTGCTCAGATGATGACCCGCCCTCCTTGTCTGTCCAGGCATCCACAGCGGGAACCTGGTGCCAGCCCAGCCCTCTTCCTCCGCTACCCACCGTGCCAAGCAGTCACTTTCTGACTCCACCACATTCAAACCCATTCATTTCTCTCCAGTACCTTTCCCATCCCTGGACCCAGATCCTCCCCATTAATTGTCTGAAGGCAAAATCCTCTGCATTAGGCCCCCTGCCCTGCCCCGCCCCACCCTTCCCGCCCATTCTTCCTGCTACAACCAAAGAAGATTTCCTGAAACATACATCTGGTGGGGTCTTGTCCCCATTTAGACCTTTCTAGGCTTCCTCCATCCTCAGGATGCAGCCCCGGCCCCTCAGCAAGGTCTACACTGCACCTCATCCTTGTGCCACTTGTCACCCCAACTTGGCTGCACCGACTGACCAGAGACACCATGCCCTTTCCTGGCCTCACACAGCTTTCTCTGCAGCTTCCCAGCTTTTGCCCTTGGTGGCCTTTCTGCCTCAAGTGCCCCCACCTTCTTTGTTAACTTTCCTCTACTTTGAAGGACCTAGCCCTATCCCCCAAAACTCTGATACTGCCCTCAATCCTCAGAGAGGGTCCCCTGCCTTGCCTCGGGCTTCACCAGCCTCATCTCTCCATGCTGTGCTCTAACTACTCCTTTTCTGCCCTTCCCATTAGGCCTTGAGCTCTTTCAGGACCTCCGGGCTTGGCCCAGTGTGTGCTTGATGGCACTTTCATAAGAATTACTTGAATAAATTAATAACCTGCATGAATGGCTGGTGCCATACACTCCTTTTATCTGGCTCACAGAGACATATAAGATAGCTTTGTGGTGTGCGTGGACTGTAGCTTTAGTCTATAAAGAACGAGGAAGGCAGTGAGTGATTCCAGGGTTAGGAGGAACCGGGGGCAAAAAGTGTGGGCTCTGCAGACAGAACCCCTGGACTCTAGTCCAAGCCCTATTGCATGCTCCTGATGTGACTTCGGTGGAGTTCCTTAACCAGTCTGCACCCCATTTTCCCATCCTTGAGATGGCAATGGCTTTTGAACCAGTCTCAGGGACAGGGGTGGGTTAGATTCATGTATGCTTGGAGCGCCATGGAAGGTAGACATCCTTATTCCCATTTTACAGGTGGGGAGGAAGTTAAGACTAGACAAGTGATGTCACCTACCTAAGACAGAGCAACTGGCAAGATGCAGATCTGGGATTTGAGCCCAACATGTTTCTGCATGTGCCAAGGGCTAGACACAATACCTGTAAACTCTGATTTTAGCATCTGAGTGGAAATCTCCAGAAATACATTGCTATGGCCTGAAAAAAGGTGTTTCAGGAAGAATCTGTTATAGTGCCTGCAATATAATAGATATACAATAAATATTATTTGTACACATGAATCCCCCCAGAGAGGCCCAGCTCATCATCTGCATTTCCTACGTCCGGAATGCTATTGGGAGGTTCATTCCTGGGCCCTTGCTGGCCAGCATGTTGGCAGTGAATTCTTCCTTATTCAAACCTCTCTTCTGTCCCAGCGCTTCATCAGGGAGGGTCATTAAGAAAACTTTTTCCCAGGAAGAGCTGTGCCTTCCCCCAAGTCTCAGAGTTGATTGTCCCAGCCCCCACACTCTCAAAGGCTGCCCTGTGGATTTCAAAACAACCCAGCAGGCCGAGAACTGGCTGCTGAGCCCCGCTTTTTTTTTTTTTTTCTGGAAACTGAAGGTCCATTCCTGGTGAAAATCAGTATCAGTAAATTCATCCTCCGTGGCTTTCAGTACTCTGCTTCCCGTTCTGACAACGAGGTTGTTCAGTTACAGGAGAGGGCACCACGGCAGACGGCAGGACTCAAAAGTTGGTAGCATCCAGAATGTGCAAGAGAGGGGACGGAAGCCAGCTCACTCCTGGCAGCTCTGCCCATCCTGTCTCACTCCATCGCTATGCAGTTTTAATATTCGTGTCTCTGGTTCAGAAGACAACCATATCAAAGAATGCATGGATGGGGCGGGATGGTGGCTCAGTGGTAGAGCATTTGCCTAGCACACTCAAGACACTGGGTTTGATCCTCAGGACCACATAAAAAATAGTAAAGTTACATATTTTAAAAATGCATGAATTTGTGTGCATGTGCCCCTGCTAGCTATGAAGGCCCTGTAAGTGTGTCTTTCATGAAAAGTTCTGAGTCGGGGGCGAGAGTCACACCCAGGTTATTATCATCTGCCGTGACCCAGTTTCCTTGTTACTCTGGTTATACCTTCTCACTCACCACCTGATGGGCTGTCACTGGGATTGCTTTGGGTGACTATATGTAAGGCAGTACATATACGTCAGCTATGAGGCTCCTAATCTGGGGACAAGAGAGTTGGTGGGTACCCTCAAATTCCCTAAAGGATCTCAGAAGAGTCTATTTCTAGGGAGAAAAATCTATCCCTGCAGTAACTTCTCAAAGGATCCTTATAGTATGAGCAAGAAATAGACTTTGTTGTTTTATACTATTGAGATGTTTGGGAGCTCTTGTTGCTGCAGCATAATCCAACCTATCCTGACTACTTCAAGGGGTCTGGGAAGGTTTCCTGGAGGAAGATATTGAGCCACACTTTTGAAAGATAAATGCAACTGAACCGGAAGAGGAAGAAAATAGATGCTTCCTTCCCAATTTCCCTTTACTTAAAAAAAAAACATTAAAAACCACTTGGATAGCATTTGTAGCTCATTCCGTTATGACCAGGAAACCTCCCTCTATGGTGCTCAAACCTCATTGTGGTTTAGAAACTGGGTTTGTAGCTCACTGGAAGCCATTCTGCAAAGATTGGGGTTCCGTGGGTCTGGGGTAGGTCTCAAGAATGTATTTCTGGCAAGCAATCTAAGGACCCTGTACTGGGATATGCTACTGTTATAATATGGATTCTCTTAAAATCCTCTTCTGTAATAATGCCTAACATTTTTAAACAAAATCAAGCAGGAGAGCTAACACAAAAGAAGCAAATCAAATAAAGGTCATTATCATAAGTGATCGGCTTCTTTCTTGGAAGAAGTAGTAGCTTGAGCTTCTTTTCTATCCAACTTCTCCTAGTAGAGTGTCAGAGTCATATCATGCTTACCTTTAATCCTGAGTATCTAATAGCGTGCCTGGCACATAGTAGGTGCTCAGTAAAGGTGTATTGAAACAGCTGCTCCCGCTTCTCCTGATCCAAAAAGCTGGTTTCCTTTCTAGTAACTCTGATTCTGCACACAGTCTGATTTTGTTTGGGGGCCTGCCTGATTTCTCCCGTGGGGGTTGGGGCTGGAGGAAGCCTGCCGACCAGTGCTAATTGGTGTCATTGAGTAATTAATGCAGAATCAGGCCCCGAGCGGATTCCCAGGGAGACAGACACTGAGGGCTGCTTTCATGCTTGGTGGGATGGGAGCTCCTTTCTCAGAGGACATTCTCAGAACATCGAGCCGACTGGCACAGACTGGTGGGGGGTGGTTTGGCAGCCAGAATGGGGTTCGTGGAGCAAGTTTAGGGGGGGTTTGTGTTGGTGCCACGGCTCTGCACAATATGGAGCGTGGCGCGTTTGACTTTAAAGAAACACAAACCCAGGCGTGGGCTCTGGGAGCCAGGCCCGTGTTGACTCTGAAGAACTGATGGGTTCCAAGGGAAGGCTGTGGCTGGAGACATTCGCCCAGCACACCCAGGTCCCCACTGTCTTGTGGCCTGGGCCCTCTGGGATACCCTTAACCTATGGCATGATATCAAAGGCTCCAGGTATACCTTCCCTTTTAACCCTTCCTGCTATTTCCACTCTCCCGCTCTGCACACCCAACTCTCTGTTCCCGAAGTGCACCCGCCCGCCTTCTTCTGAGTTGAGCTTAGCCCATTTCCTTGACCTAAAACAATATGAATTCCCTCTTTCTGTTGGCTCAGTTCCACTCATCTTTCAAAAAGGGGTTCACACATCACTTCTGTCAGGAACATTTACAAACTCCCTGAAGCCGTCAGGATGGGATGGTTTTTGCTGCAGTAACAAGTGCTCAGAGAGCAACATAGCTTAGAACAACAAAGTTTAATTCTTGCCTATTCCATCTGTGACTTGGGATGGCATGAGAGCTCAGGTTCTTCTTCAGGGGCTCGGGCTTCTTGAGGCTGTGTCTTGACACTTTTCAATGTTTCAATAATGATAACAAGGGAAAGGGAGGCTGGTGAACCATGCTACCTGCCTGAAGCAAATCCTGTGGTTACCCTTGAGTTTGTCAGGATGGGGGTATGCAGTCTTCCCTTAGGAATATAGAAAGTTGTGGATGGTAGCATGGTCTCCCAGGCACCCTCAAGATAGGTGGCTCTGGTCTTCCCTAACCCCCTGTGCCATATCTTTTTGCCCCCAGGAGAGAGGATACATAGAAGCAAGGGGCTAATTCTCATTTCTTTGAGACACCCAGGCCCAGCCCAGGGTTTGGCTTAGAGAGGATGCTTGGCGAATGGCAGGGGTGGGTGCATCCCTTCCCTTCAGACTTGGCTTTGCTGCATGTGGACCGCAGTGGGCCATCATCAGCCCCATGACTCTCTACCTTCCTTCTGTAGGCGCCGGGTCCTGGCCATCTCTGATGGGATCGAGCACATTGGGAACCTCCGCTGGGAGCTGGCCTTGTGTCTCCTGGCAGCCTGGACCATCTGCTACTTCTGTATCTGGAAGGGGACCAAGTCGACAGGAAAGGTAAGAGTTCTCATCTTTGAACGACCATGGGCAGTAGAAGGCGTGAATCATCCTTGTGAGAGCTCACAGTTGACCTGGAACATTCTTCAGGGTTCTGATTGTGAATACCAACTTTTAAACTGAGTGGTAGGAAGAGCACTGGAATGGAAATCCACTCCAGAGCCCAGAGTTAGCTCCACTGCGTTTCTGCCACGCACCTCACGGCTGTGCATTTTTACCTTCTGAGCTTCCGTTTGCTCATCTGTGAAACGTCTGATCCTTTTTGAGTTGAGAGCCACATAAGATAAGGTGGAGTTAAAGTGGATCAGAAACTAGGAAATGCTAAACTGTTAGGATTGATTCTTTTATCGAGACACAGCTCCAGGCATGCACCAGGGCAGGGGGTGCCGGCCGTCGCCACTCACAGACTGTCTTTCTCACTCACCTGCAGTCTGTGGAGAGAAGAGAAACAGCTTCCGTCTTGCAGCTTCACTGTGCCACATGCACCAGGTGGCCTCCAGGGTTGCCACCTGATCAGGGGAAGAGAAGTGGAAGAAGGCGGCCAGCTCATAACCACCTTGGCCTGGAAGTTACACGTGTAACTTGGCTCTTCCGCTGACGGGACTGTGGCCAGCACCCAAGGCACAGCCTTACCTAAACCACAGGGGAAGCCAGGAGCTCTAGGGAAGCACAGAAACCTTTGGCCAGTGAGCATATCATGTGCCATAAGGATCAATACAGAGGTCAGAAATGTGAATTTCCTGGAAAAATCCAGCTCAGTTATGTATTTTACTTAAAAAAAAAAAACCAAAAAAAACAGAAGGGGTAGGGCCCAGGGAGTTAAATGCCAACATTTAGAAATTAGGAGATTTCACATAGAAATTCTGGTTCTCTTATCCCTTGGACAGTAAGATTTGGCCACACCAGACTTGGCATACCCACAGCAGCGTGTGGGTGAGTGAGCAGTAGCCTCCTCCTCCTGGGAATGTTCTGGATGGCCACAGTCCCCACCATGCCTTATTGCCCCTGATGCTGTGGCTAAGTCTCAGAGCTGTTAGTTTCCTCTTTGTTGCGTCACAGAAAAGAGGCAGATGAAGCATTCTGCATGCCTGAGTGAGCCCCCATCACTCCTTGGCCTCCTGGTTGTGATTAACATGTTTCTCATAAGCTGGGTTCTAAGTGTTTGGCTGGGGCAGGGGGCTGGAGATAAAGCATTCAAGGAAATGGGAGCTTAACCACTTGGGGCCCTTATGCAAAAGATGGGTCTGCTTCATTCCTACAGGGCCGATAGGATGAAGGGGAAACTACTGGAACGTTAGAGGTGGGCTGGCCTGTGGGGGGAGGCTAGGAGAACAGAGCAGCATGTGAAGAAGGAGGGTTTACTAAACCTAGTCATACTGGTGCCTGGGGACCACAGAAAGTAGAACCGGCACACGCATGTCCCTTCAGCCACGGTGATTCTGCTCCTGTTTGCTTTCTCTAGCTCGAATCATAAAGGCAAAAGGACTCGCCTCTTTTTTCCCAAACATAAAATCGTCGCATTAATATTTGACTTTGGTCTGCATCCAGGCTGTTCCTCGTTCCCCTCTTTGCTGCCTCTTCTGGCCAAAGAAGAGGGGACCCATTGGAGGGGTTAAGAAGCAGGGTCTGCAGTCAGCACTCAAACCCCAGGTCTGTCACTCACTCGCCGTGACCTGGGGCACATCAGTTCACTTCTCCAAGTTTCCATTTCCCCTTTTAAGCAGCGAGATGGGCAAGAGAGCGCGCTGAGTGAGAGTCAACTGCGAGGATGTGCCATTGAGTGCGTAGCAGTATGTGTGACTGATACGGATTAAATGGGGGCTTGTAAATTTTTTGTTGTGTAAAGATAAAACATACTCATTCAAGAGAAGTAGTTTCTGAGTATCTACCACACATTTAGCATTATTCATGGTATATTCAAAATCGAGTACAGCACAGCTGAAGTCCCACCCAGGTAACACGTGGACGTGCCTGTGGTGGCAAAGAGAAGGGAAGAGGTATTGTTACCATGGCTTCCACGGCCACCACTTCTTGGGAATCCATGTGGAGACCTTTGGGGCCTTGCGGGACTTTATGTGGTCAGGAGAAGGGCTTCCTGGATGAAGTTTTGGTACACCGGCTGTGCCCGCATGTGGCCTCCATCTCTTGGGTCACAGCAGAATCTGTTTCCACCCAACCCTCAGGAGAAAGCTCAGTATCATGGTGGTGCCACATGGCCCCTGGCTGGGTGACGGAGCCCACGCGATGGAGAATGATAATGTGAGAACTGGGGTTTCCAAGAAAGGCAGGCAGGCTTTGGTCTAGGAGATTTCCAAAGAGGCTTGTGGGGAAGGCGAGGAAATAACCATTCGTCCTGTCTTTTGCACACTTGGCATTCTGCTAGGTGTCTTCCTTCTATGTTAGTGCATCATACTTCCCCAGTGGGGGAAGTCGTTGACATCTCTGTAGGTGGACAGCCAGAGGATAGGAGCCATTAAGCAGCCTGGAAATAGTGGTATGGCAACTCTGCACCTCAGCGCTGACCACAGAGCTACGGGATCCTTGCCTCTCTTGGGCTCTTGATTGACGTGGGAACCTTGTGTTGTTTTGAGTGATCACCCTACATACATCTTCCCGAGCCTCCGTTTTCTCATCTCCAGTAGAAGTGGTAACGGTAGCAGTCGTGACAATGATCCACAGTAAATAGTTAATTATTGTTTTTTAAATTTTTTAGTTGTAGTTGGACACAATACTTTTATTTTATTTATGTATTTATTTTTATGTGGTGCTGAGGATCGGACCCAGGGTCTCGCACACGCTAGGCGAGCGCTCTACCGCTGAGCCACAACCCCTGCCCCAAATAGTTAATTATTTATCGAGCATTTCATCCTGTCTCGCATGCCTGGGCCACTCAGGCATGTGGAACAACCATGTGAGGCAGGAGCTATTAGCATGTCCATTTTATGGAAGAGGAAACTGAGGCTTAAAGGGATTAAGTAACTTGTTCACAGACCCTCCAGTAGGAAGCAGAAGATTGGGATGAAAATCCAAGCATTGGTGACTACACAGCTCATATTCTGGGTATGTCATTGTTACGCTGCCCTCTGTAATGTGGGTACAATTAATGATTTTCCTGTGGGCTGGTTAGAAAGTGGCGATTAATGAGATAGCTGAACATATCATAGGCTCTCTATGATTGTTGGTTGCAGTATCTAAATGGTGCTTTGAAGGGAAATGCTGAAATCTAATGAGCCAAGGATCTTATTGAAGGCTGGGTTTCATAGATTGCTACATGTCCCGCACCCAAGGCCAGCATTAGCATCCAGGATGAAATGTGGTTTTCCAGAGCTGTGAAATTCCTTAGAAACCATCCGGTCCACCCGTTCCCTTATTTTTATGCATGAACACACTGAAAGGGGAAGGGACTAGTCCAAGGTAACATAGTGTCAGGCCAGTAACAGGAGCCCAGACCCCCAGCACTTTATAAATGATGAGATCCAGTGGGTCATGTCTTGACAGTTGAAGAGGGGTCCAGGAGTCCCTGAATCATCAAGTGAACTCTTTAGAGGACGATGTGGCACATTTGTTTCTGTTTATTACTTGCTTCACCTTGGAGGTGAGCCCAGTGTCCAAAGGTCTTTTGGGTTCTGTACAAAAACAGCTAAAAATAAAACACTGGGTCATCTGAGACTTCCACAGCAGTCAGAGTGGCCCATGGCCCCCCGACCACGGGACCCTAAGCAGAGCCACTTTCATGGAGCTGTAAAGGAGGGACAGATCCATTCCCCTGGTGTCGTCCAGGTGGTAACTGAGTTGCCATTCCATCTTCAACTCCTCCCTGGGGGGTCCAGCCTGCTTCCCGTGGTCAGACCTCAGCAGAAATTTCTGTGTATCATAAACGTTCATTTAAGGGATTAAGTAACTGGCTCAAGGACACTCTGGTGGGAAACAGAAGACTGGGATAGAATCCATGCATTGGTTCCTAGTGCCCTCTTACCTCCAACTTCAGCCCATTGCAGTCAGCACTTCCTGTGCTCAGGAGGTAGACATCATAAATCCGGCCTTTCAGCAGACAGATTTGGGATCAAGTTACACATTAACAGGTGTAGGAACACCCCAAGTGAAGTCCCAGCAGTGCTGTGTAGCAGGGTCGTCAATGCATGGACCACAGAGGCTTTGCTGGCATCAGCATCTCCCCCGGAGACAACTAACACCATAGAGGCTAGTGTTCCGGATTGCCTCAGAGTCAGAAGAGCGATCCATAGTCTTAGAGAACCTCCTTGGAGCCAGAGAGGTATTCAAAGGTCCCAGCTTAAGTGCACCGCAAGGAGCCTGCTCTGTACCTGTCGCTGTGTAAACCCACATAGAAAGCCTGAGTTCCACCGGTGCTTCTAGCTCTGTCGGGGAGGTGGGGGATACCATGGTGAAGACAGTGGTTGATCTGGTCCCTACAAAGCCTACAGCCCTCTAGGGCAGGACACAACCAGGAAAGCATTCCTAATGCAGATAGTGTTGACATTAAAAAATACAACAGCTATCTTTAAACAGAGACATGAGATGGGAGGGAAAGGGAGAGAAAAGGGAAATTGCATGGAAATGAAGGGAGACCCTCATTGCTATACAAAATTACATGTAAGAGGTTGTGAGGGGAATGGGAAAATAAACAAGGAGAGAAATGAATTACAGTAGATGGGGTAGAGAGAGAAGATGGGAGGGGAGGGGGGAGGGGATAGGAAAGGTAGCAGAATACAACAGTTACTAATAGGGCATTATGTAAAAATGTGGATGTGTAACCGACGTGATTCTGCAATCTGCATTTGGGGTAAAAATTGGGAGTTCATAACCCACTTCAATCTAATGTATGAAATATGATATGTCAAGAGCTTTGTAATGTTGTGAACAACCAATAAAAATAAATAAATAAATAAATTAATTAATTAATTAAAAAATATACAACAGCTAAGCCAAGCAGATTGTAAAAACCTGGGGATTCTAATGGCGGAGAATTGTCTCCCAGAGTA